CGCAGGTTGAAACGTATGGAGCCTTCAGAAATTCCCAGTCTTCTTGCAATTTCCCTATTAGACACTCCTTCTGTATACAGTGCTTCAATGTTCCCTTTAGTAAATTCTGACAATACCCTAACTTTCGGCATGGCTCAATGTTTGTAAATAAAAATTACGTATCTGACACTATGACCTCGACAGGAATATTCATGAACTACAACTGACAGGTATTCCCGCCCAGAAGCGCGTGTTGAAATAATTTCAGCTTCCCAATTGGTTCAAATTTGCATGAGAAAGGACACGACTATCGCACATGTTTTATGGCGCGAAGTTTTAATGAGATGCAAATGATATGCAAATGAGCGCGCTCCCATAGAGTTAACCATGGCGATTTTCGCTCACTGAAAAAACGTCTACATACAAAAAAACTAAACACAAATCAACCATTTTATTTTGACTAAAATGCACTAGTTCTTCTTAAATTTAGTATATTTTAAAGTCAACACATCATGTTACCTGGAATTGTTATTTTTAGTTACGAAAACGATCAAATGACAGGTGCGTAAATACTTTCTGGCGGGTCTGTAAATTGTCATGGACATGTATCCTAACATGTATAATCTATGTACCAAATTTGAATGAAAACTGACAAAGCATGTCCAAAATACAACATTTTCAAAATACAAGATGGCTGCCAGTCGGCCATTTTGAATCGAATCGCTAAACCACTGCATGTGCATATGTCCCAGATAAAGTACTAGGCACATGCAAAGAATGAACGGAATCGGTCCAAGGGATTCTGAGATATGACTCCGGAGGGACGCACGGACGCACAGACGGAGATCGAATTATAAGTCCCCGTTTTCGGACTTCGTCCGAACGGGGACTAATAACAATGTTAGACCTACCAGTAACTTCACAAAGTACTCACACACAAAGTAGTTAACAGGATTCAGTTCACACGACTATGAAAACGATGAAATATGCAATTTTTGCAGGAGCTCTGCTCAGTGACGTGTACACACACATGTACATACATACATACATACATGTGCAGACATGGTAGCTGCAAAGACTCCTATTTGTGCTTCGCACACAGGAGTAAAAAATTATGTATGTTTATTTTATGGAAGGTTAAACATTTTATTTTCCTCTCAACCACAGGGCATGAAATAGCAACGTTCAGATTCCATCATTCCATCTTGTTCATGGAAAGTTATACTACTTGTTTTTAAAACCAACAAAATGTATTAGTCATTTTGTGATGTGTGAAACAAAGACCATGATGGTTCTGTAAAAATCCCATGTTATTTTCAAGATTATATTTGGAAAAACAGAAAATAAAATGAAAATAGCCAAATTGTTCTCTTCGAAAATAATGTTCTGGGTCCAGCTGCTAAATACTAAATATCTCTCTGCCAACTATTCAACACACTTTTAGTACTTTATTGATTTGTATCATGGTTTTAGTATATTAGTATATTATTATTATTATTATTATTATATACATGTAGTAGCCTATAAAGCCCCCCCCCCAAAAAAAATAGTGGTTCCAATGTACTCTAAAAACACAATGTAGTGTCAGATTTAAATTTTATTTTTTTCCGTATCAGAAATCATTTTCTTTGTGTTAGTTTAATTATTAGTTAAAAAACCTACATACAATTGTGTCTGGACAAAAGTCTTTTGACCCAAATTCTAGATAATAAACTAAGTCAGCCTCATTGTAATCTTGTGTCATTACGCATAATTTTAGGCATTATGTTAGGCA